CAAACGTGCTGCAATATCCTTTTTGGACAGCAATGGCTTCCTCCGTGGTGTCCTCCCATGTACTCCATTCTTGTTTAATGTTTTCCTTATTGTAGATGTGTCAACAAAAATGTTAGCATGTGCCAGAGATTTCTGTAGGTCTTTAGCTGACACTCTGGGATTCTTCTTTACCTCATGCAGCATTCTGCGCTGTGCTCTTGCAGTCATTTTTACAGGACGACCACGCCTAGGGAAAGTAGCAACAGTGCTAAATTTTCTCCATTTGTAGACAGTCTGTCTTACCGTGGACACATGAACATCAAGGCTTTTGGAGATACTTTTGTAACCCTTTCCAGCTTCATGCAAGTCAACAATTCTTGATCGTAGGTCTTCTGAGAGCTCTTTTCTGCGAGGCATGGTTCACATCAGACAGTGCTTCTTGAAACCAGTAAACCCAAAACAGGTGTGTGTTTTTTAAGGGCAGGACAGCTGTCAGCAACACATCCAATATCATCACACTGATTGGAGTCAAGGTTGCCTCACTCCTGGCTCCAATTAGCTGTGGGAGAAGTCATTAAGCTAGGGCCTCACATACTTTTTCCTCTCTGCACTGTGAATGTTTACATGTTATGTGCAATTAAACCATGGCAACATCTAATGTTTGTGTAGTATTATGTTCAGCAGACTGTGTTCTTCTATTCTTGTGACTTAGATGACGTTCAGAGCACATTTTATGCCCAATTCATGCAAAACTCCACGTAATACCAAGGGGTTCACATACTTTTTCTTGCAACTGTATATATATATATATATATATATATATATATATAATAGAACAATCCATTACCTTGGGGAGAGTTACTGCAGATGCATTCATATAAAAATCTTGGAGAGGTACTGGTGAGGGCTAGCAATGAAATGTTTAATTTGTAGATTTACGGTACCTATCTTATCTCATCTTACCTTATCTTATCTAATGTCACATTTTAAAAAATGGGAAAAGCAAGCGTTTACTTACTTAATTTGTGAATACATTTTTAATTCCTTGTACCAGAATTATAAATTAGTGTCCTTTTAAACATGACAAATTATATCCATTTTATCCCCAGGAACACTATTTGCAAAAAACCTAATCCCTATTAACCCTTTCCCGTCCGGCCCATTTCGATAATCGGCCGGACGGGAGTGTTGCTGACTTGGGTGGACGTTTCTAAAGGTCCCCCTGCATCCATTGCCTGTGCATGCTCCCTGGGATAGCACCGAGATCGGAACACATATCGCTGTACGGGACCTCTGTGTGAGGTCCGGATTCATGTGATCACTGATTGGCCAATCAGTGATCACATGAATAGTAGTAAACAAGATGTCACTTCTGACATCATTGCTTACTAATTATGACATCTATGAATGATCCCAGAGGTCACATGGTGCAAGGCTATTCACAACAGCCTTGTACCATGTGGCAAGCTGTGATCAATCACAGCTTGCACAGTATTTCTCAATGGCTGCAAGAATGCAGCCAGAGAGGAGAAATTATTGCTTTTACAGCCTTTATGGATGTAAAAGCAATCCGTGTAAAAAAAGAAAAAAAATCTTCATCACCCCCCACAAGTAGTACAGTGTCACCATAGCGACACTGTACTGCTAGGGTGACAGTATGTTAAAAAAAAAAATGTAAACAAATTTTTGAAAAATTATCATTTTTGGTTATAAACTAATTTGGGCCTTTTTTGTAACTAAAAAGATAGATGAGTACATTTTAGTCAAGATTTACGAAGAAAGTTTATTTTTTTTTTGCAAAATTTTATAAGAAAATTTTTTGGACTCTTTCATTTATATAGAAAAAAAATTAAAATCCCAGTGGTGAATAAATACCACCAAATAAAGTTTTATCAGTTTCAAAAAATGCTAAAAAATTGCATATGGGTACAGTGTTGCATGACCGTGCAATTGTCCTTCAAAGTGTAATAGCGCTGAAAGCTGAAAATTGGCTTGGACAGGAAGGGGGTGAAAGTGTCCGGACTTGAAGTGGTTAAAGTAAAAACAAAAGTGCATTTTTTGTTTAATTATGTTTTTTGTCTATAATTAGCATAAAAAATAAATACATTTTGCAAGACAGAATCACCAAAAGAAATACTTTTTATGTCCAAAAAAAAGATAAATACAGTATATGATGATTACTGTGTTATGTTAACCACATGCCGCCCAGCCACTGTATAAATACAGCAGCAGGGTGGCACGGCTGGGCAAAAGCACAGTAAACAGGTAGGGGGAGCGCACGAGGCATGCCACCGCCCTACCTGTCCCGCCGATCACAGCCACGGATGTCAGTCGCCGGGTCACAGCCAGTCGTTACCGGCTATGTCCCGGCGATCGGCGGCAATCAGTTCCCTGACAGCTCCAGGACACGCTGATCGGGACAGAAGAGTTTCTCTCTCTCGATCAGCGGTGTTCCCTGCAGTACACACCCTAGTAAAACACTCCCCTCACACAGTTAACCCTTTCCCTGAAAAATAAACTTGACCCCTTCCTCCCCAGTGCCATTAGTACAGTGTCAGTGTTTTTATTTTTGCACTGATTACTGTATTGGTGTCACTAGGGATGTCAGTGACCCCAAGTCAGTACCCCCAATGTCAGAATGTCTGCCGCCGTCCCGCAGTCCCGCCATAAGTCACTGATCGCCGCCATAAGTCGCTGATCGCCGCCATTATTAGTATTAAAAAAAAACTAAAAATCCCAGTATCTTTCCCGCCATTTTAAACGCTATAACTTTCACGTAAACCAATTAATTTACACATTTTGGGTTTTTTTTTTTTAGCAAAGACATGTCGCAGAATGCATTTTGGCAGAAATTTATGACTAAATTTGATTTTTAATTTTTTTTTTACTGGACATGTTTTATAGCAAAAAGTCCAAAATATAGTTTTTTTTTCCTCAAAAATCAAATACCACCAAAAGAAATCTCAATCTCAATTTGTGGAAAAAAAAGGATGTAAATTTCATTTATGTACCGTATTGCATGACCGCGCAATTGTCCGTTAAACTAGCGCAGCGCTGTATAGCAAAAGAATGGCGTAAATTGCAGTATCTATACCATAGTTTGTAGACGCTATAACTTCCACACAAAGCAATCAATATACACTTATTGGGATTTTTTTTACCAAAAACATGGAGCAGAATACATTTTGGCCTAAATTTATAACTAACTTTGAGTTTACTATATATTTTTTATAGCTAAAAATAAAAAATATTGTTTTTCTTCAAACTTTTTGGCCTTTTTTTGTTTATAGCATGAAAAATAAAAAGCGCACAGGTGATCAAATACCACCGAAAGAAAGCTCTATTTGTGTGAAAAAGAGGACGTAAATTTTGTTTGGGTGCAGCATTGCATGACCGCGCAATTATCAGTTGAATTAGTGCAACGCCGAGTAACAAAAAGAGGCCTGGTCATTAAGGGGGGTGAATCCTCTGGAGGTCAAGTGGTTAAGTAATAAAAAAGTTACTGCAGAATAACCAGGCCCAAAGTAGAAATGTAAAAATCTCTCTGGCCCATAGGGGGTGTACAGGGGTGAGAGCTCAACCGGTTAATAACATGGTGTAAGTCTGCTACAGTTTGTAGTTTTTATTTAAAACCACAACCGTTACATTATTAGTCCAAGGTGGAAAATAAGACTTCTCCAGGTTACAGTATTCAAACTTCCAATCTTTATTTCATTTACACTCAAAAACAAAGCCACAAAGCAATACCCTTTGTAGAGTCCTTAATAAATAACAGCATGTATTTTTTTTTTCCCTGTCACCGGCGGTGAAATACAATAAGCACTTTTCTTTAAAGGAACTTTCTTTCTGAAGAACTGGTGAGTTATTTCTAGAATGAATGCGCTGCATCGCTCACCGCATTTCTGTCTCCTCAAAAAGTATTAACACCTGAACTCCGTCAGGCGGTACGCAAAGCTGTTTGATCAATATTTAGCTTGTCCTTGAGGCCATAAATGGAGCTTAAATGAAAGAACCTTTGATACTGTTGATGGCAGAAGGTGTACAGTCAGACAATGAGCCATAAAGCTGAAAAATGTGTTAATATAAAATTAATTTCAAAATGTTATTGGGCCCAAACACAATGTGCAGATTATTATGAGAAGGGGATGTTTGGCCGTAGGCAAAGAGCAAAAGTTCAATATCTGTCTTCAAAGGTGTGTTTCTACTTTCTTTTTTTATATATATATATATATATATATATATATATATATATTTCTTTTTTGTTATATATTTTCCTTTATGTTATTGAAATAAAGTAACAGGTGTAAAGGTAATTCTATTACTGTTTTGTATGTTTGAATTTTTGTATGCAGAAGATTACACTAGGCTGGTTCTTTGGTATTGTAAGTTTTGCTGCCAGGCTCTTTGAAATGTAATTTTGTGCTTAAGTGGTGCATTTATTTTTGTTGTTCCCCGACGAAGCCATGTTTAATGACGAAACGCATCGGTTGTAAATTAGTTTTCTCTTTGTTGCACAGTTGTCTTCAGAAATATGAATGATTCCCACTATAAATGTATTACATTTTGTGAGGTTTTGAGAACTTTTATTGAGTTAAGACATGCCTGTTGTTATCATTGGAGCAGAGACCATCCTGTTTTCATAGCTGTCTATGAACTATGAAAAGGGGAGATTTACCTTTAGTTCTTGGCTCAGTAATGGTAATAAGAAAAAAAAAATCTTGCTAATTGGTACACAGGCAGCAAAAAAAAAAAAAAACACTTTTTGTAACAGCAAGGGTAAGAACCCGTTTTTTGAGGTATACTGTATATGATCTTTTTTCCTGCAAAGTGAACAGCCTAATTGTCTTTAGTAAATCAACCCCATTATGTTTACTATTGCTGTGTTCTCACAGGGATAATCACTATCATGGATATACTTGCAAAGAAACACTGCCATTATCAAATATGTAATGCATTCAAATCTTAGGAATTTTATGGAGCTGATTTAAAATTGCAGAAAAGAGAACACCACACACAAACTGTCTCTCTCTATTTTTTATTTGCTGCCTTGCATCTGTTAAAATAACAAAGCAATACTGTAAGACATACCCAGGGTCAGGGGCAGACTTACAACTCATGGGGCCCCTGGGCAATAGGAAATCCTGAGTCCCCTGTGTCCTCGCCCATATTCAAATCACACCCAAAAAAGCCTATGAAAGGTACCAGGGGCATTTCATGGGGCCCCCTACTGACCCCAGGCCCTCGGGCAGTGCAAGAGTGCCTAAATGGTCAGTTCGCCTCGCCTAGGGTTATTTACTAAAACTGCATGGTGAAAAATCTGGTGCAACTCATAGAAAAAAAATCAACTGCCAGGTTTTATTGCCAAAGCTTAATTAACCTCCCTGGCGGTATGATTATTTCAGATTTTTGGTGCTGAAAGCGGTACCATTATTTTGCATGGAAATATGTAGTTTTTTTTATTGTAGGCTGTAATATTTAGGAATAACTCACTGAAATCTGTCCGAACAAGAGTCTAGTAAACATCCCGGGTAGGATAAAATTTGAAACACAAAATTATAAATTATAATTTAATAAATAATCATAAAAAATAATAATATAATAATAATACATTTAATTCAATAATATAATCAAACCAAAAACACTGAAATTTGAAATATAGCACCATAATAAGTTCGCACATTGCTGAGCAAAGTCGCAAAATCGTTTTCAGTGTCTGATGACGAATTTCCCCACAAATCATTATCACTCAATTCTGCAAGTGGTTCTGATTTACTATCGCTGTTCTCTAGCTGATCTAAACCGCTTTTGACCTAAAGGGACACTTTTTGGACGCCATGGACGTTTCTCAGTTTCCAGGCAGAAAGAAGAGACAAAATGCAGGCAGGGCACAGGACAAAGCACTCGGGACAAAATGTATGTGAAATTGGTTGAATAGCAATGTTTTACTATGTAAAATGTAAAAAAAAAAAAAAATGACATTATTTAAAATTTTTAAATTTCCCGCTGCCGGCGGTGCCCGTATGTCCCGACGTCACAGGGACAGGACACAGAAGCCGGATGCCGGCATCGGCCGAAGGAGATGGCCGGGGACGCTGCAGGGGACACATTGTGGGAGTGAGGGTACGGTAAGTGAAGAACAAATGCTGGAGCAGTGCCGCATGGTATTCCCGAGTGTAGCTCGGGGTTACCGCTCTTGGTACTGAAATGTTACCCCGAGCTACACTCGGGAATACCGCCAAGGAGGTTAAACAAGCTAAAGTTAGAAGCTGATTGGCTACCATGTACAGCCGCACCAGATTCTGAGTGCAGCAGGTTTAATAAATCTATCCCGCTGTGTTCCAGTGCTTGTCTTCTGGGTTGAATGGTGGCCACCATCCATTATCCAACCCACTTACTGTAGGCCCAAGCTTCTCAAATTAAATAAAAAAACTTTATATATATAAAAAAACTATGTTTCTAAGTGTTCCCATTCACAGAGCATTAAACAAATATATATATATACATATATATATATATATATATATACCCATACACACACACACATATATATATATACATACTGTATATACTGTATACAGGGCTTTTTTTCTCAGAGAATAAGTGCAGGAACTCCTTCCTCACAAGTCACCTCTTGTCTATGCCCTATACCCACCTCTGAGCACTGTCCATTCGTTGCACCACCTATCCACCTCCCAGTAGCACCGCTTTGATAGAAAACAGAAATGTATCATTTAGTGATGCTAGGTAATTTGCATGGTATTTGTTCATGATAACAAGAAAAGCAGTAAAATAGATCCCCTGCAGCCTGAAACAATAGAAAACCCCCAACAACAATAGATCTCCCCAGCAACAATTGATCCCCCACCAGCAACAGTAGATTTCCCTAATAACAACAGACCCCCTTGCAACAAAACACCCCCCAGCAACAACAAATCAACCCCAAGGGACAATAGATCTCCTAGTAGTCAGCATTATTAGACCTTCCAGCAGCTAGAAACAAGAGACCCCTACCTCAACAGTAGATATCTTCCAGCAACAATGGACCCCTCCCTCAACAATAGATCTCCTCCAGTGACAATAAATCCCCCCAGGAGCCAACATCAATGGACCCTCCAGCACACCTTGACATTACATACATTCAGTGCTGGAGGTGCTGGAACTGCGTTCCCCTGTGTTCCCACTGAAAAAAAGCCCTGACTGTATAAATATAGATATATACATACACACATGAGGGGTGTTTAAGTCACACTGTGGAAAGTGGAAAACTTCATTTATTTTTTTAAATACTCCCCTGATACATTTGTACACTTATCCCAGCGTTTAACCAATGCCTGGAAAGCTTCAGCATAGAAAGACTTGTCAGTATGCCTGAACCATCCTAGGACAGCCTGCACCACTTCAGTGCCGAAATGCTGAACTTTGAAGAACTCTTTTACGGGTCCAATTTGACGACAGGTTGTGCTTTGATCCTGAATGTTCACAGGAATGACTGCTGTGGGCTGGGAACCACCACGATCATTACTGATGGACGGATGGCCATGTTTGATACATTTACAGCATTCAAATGTCTTACTGTGGCTGAGCATCACATCACTGTACTGTGCTTTAAGTCTCATGTAGATATCTGCAGGTTTTACGCCTTCATTCACAAGAAACTTCATCACCACAAGCTGTTCCACACATGCGCTAACACTGTTGTCTGCCATCTTCATTAACGGTCTCTGGACTGGCCGGTAACATGTGCACCAACTATCAGTGGTAGAATACACGTGCCACTTACTGCATGTGTACTGCCACACTAGCATCCCTTTTAATACCTCAAAAATTAAAAGTCCAGGTTTGACCTAAACACCCCTATCTATATTTCTTAGATGTTTCCAGGGAGAAGGTGTCATGGCTGATACTACTAATTTCTGGACAGTCTCACAGGGGTTGATTTATTAAAGCACCTTGCCGGCAAATGGTCGCAGCTCCTTGCATGACCGACTACTTTTAGGTGTAGAAGAGATTTACTGAAACACTCAGTCAACAAATAGACACAATTCGGAATTTACTAATGGTCACAAAACTTAGCTGAGTTCACCTCTTAGAACCAGGTGAACAGCAGAGAAATTTTTTTTTAATGACATGATCTCAAGAAATGTATACTTCCTATACATGTTGAACATTTTTAAGAATAAGTGCTTTAAAAGAATTTAAAATGTGTCTGTATAAAGTGATACATTTAAAAAAAATCCAAACAGGCATTGATTCACCTAGTTCAAACATCTCAGTAGTGATATAACTGAGCATGCCCAGACCAGGAAAACTAAAGAGCGCCTTCACTGTCGTTTTTTGTGAAGTGCTATAGTAAATGCCTTTGTTGGCAAGCCTGGAAATGTCGTTGGAAAGAGTGAACTTGTTTTTGTGAAAGAGTGATTATTAAACAGGCTAACATTTTTATATATACAGTATATATGTATGTATATATATATATATATATATATATATATATATATATATATATATTTACCAATATACATCAATACATGTGACTATAGAACCAGGGGCAGACTGACAACTCATGGGGCCCCCAGGCAATAGGGGATCATGGGGCCCCTATGTCCTTGCCCACACTAAAAAAAAGCCTATAAAAGGTACCAGGGACATTTCATGTGGGCCCCCTACTGACCCTGGGCCCTTGGGCAGTGCTTGAATGGTCAGTCCGCCCCTGCATAGAACTATTACTATGCATGGAAACACCAACATCGATATTCTAAGACCTTTTTCATTTCTTTTGTAATTTTGTTTAGCTTTGCTTTTTTTGCTTCTTACACAATATTCTATTGTTCTGGGTTTTTTTTAAATAATACTAGTGCTGTGTTTTATTCTTTTTTTTGGAGCATATATTCTTTGCAGTATATATACTAATGTATGTACTTCTATGTGCATTGAAAATGCCCAAGGACTTAGACATTTGATATATTAACTAAATAGTAGAAACACTGCACTTGGTGCTCAGCATCTAACAAAAATCCAAATCCGAACTCCCACAGCTGTCTTCACCAACCACAAACAATACCATTGCTGAACCAACATTAAAAGGAATACAAATGTTACCTGTATTACTAAATTCGATGTGTGTTGGTTACATGTCTCCCAGTACAAATGATCATAATATATCATAATCGCCTAAGCGCCCACCTCACTGACAACAACCTCCTTGATCCACTACAGTCTGGCTTCCATCCCCTACACGCCACCGAAACTGCCCTCCTACTTAAAATCACTAACGACCTGCTAACCACCAAAGCTAATGGCCACTACTCAGTCCTCCTACTCCTTGACCTCTCCGCGGCATTCGACACAGTTGACCACCCACTCCTCTTTACTAAACTACACTCCCTTAGCATCAGGGACTCTGCTCTCTCCTGGTTCTCCTCTTACCTATCCCAACGCTCCTTCAGCGTTACCTATAACGCTGCCACCTCCCCTCTCTCCCCCTCTCTGTTGGGGTCCCCCAAGGCTCTGTCCTCGGACCCCTTCTCTTCTCCATCTACACCTCCTCCCTTGGCAAACTGATACACTCCCACGGCTTCAACTATCACCTCTATGCCGGTGACACACACATTTACCTCTCCACCCCTCACCTCACCCCCTCACTCTCCGCACGCACCACCTACCTCCTAAACGACATATCAGATTGGATGTCGCTCCATTTCCTCAAGTTAAACATTTGCAAAACTGAGCTCCTAGTTTTCCCCCCAGCCCATGCCCCCCCATCCTCTCATCACGACTAACAACGCCACCATCAATCCCACCCCACACACCAAAGTCCTAGGTGTCACCCTGGACTCAAACCTTTCCTTCCAACCTCATGTCCAATCACTATCAAATTCATGCAGGCTCCACCTCCGCAACATCTCCAAGATACGTATGTTTCTCACCCCAGACACACTAAACAACTCGTACACTCCCTTATCATCTCACGCCTAGACTACTGCAACTCCCTTCTCACCGCCTCACACGCTATCCCCACTCCAGTCTATCCTGATGAACTCAGCGGCTAGACTCATCCACCTCAGCTTCCGCCACCCCCCTCTGCCAATCCCTTCACTGGCTCCAGATTGCCCAAACGCATTAAATTCAAATGACTAACTCTGACATACAAAGCCATTCATAACACTGCCCCAAACTAACTCACTGACCTGATACCCAAATAACACCCTACCCGTGCCCTTCGCTCCTCACAAGACCTCCTACTCTCTAGCTCCTGGACTTCCCCCATCCTCTGGAACTCCCTACCCCAATCCATCAGACTGTCACCTACCCTCCTCACCTTCAGACACACCCTGAAAACCATCTCTTCAGGGAAGCCTACCCCACCCTCACCTAACAGCCGTTCTCCTCCACTCCTCCTACCACTCCATCCCCCACAGTCACTTCCTCCTGTACCTCTACTCCCCCCCTCCTAGATTGTAAGCTCGAAAGAGCAGGGCCCTCGAACCCCTCGTGTGTTGTATTGTTACTGTATTGTCTCATGTACTGTCCCCCCACTTTAATGTACAGCGCTGAGCAAACCTTTCGGTGCTATATAAACACTGTATAATAATAATAATAATAATAATATTATTATTTCAAAATGTTATATGTGTCCCAACATTATAAATACAAATTCAGAGGGTTACACCACTATTTCACAGTGACACACAATAAAGAAAAAATATTGATGCATAAATCATAAAACATACAGTAGATCTGGATGGAAGAGATCACCACCCATATGTAAATTTTTTTAAATGTCATATAACAGAGATATATATAACTGTAATATGTATATATATATATATATATATATATATATATATATTTAACATTAGAAAATAGTATGCATTATTCTGTAACATTCATTAAAAAATGCATTAGTTTGCAGAACATGTAAAAAACACTACAAAAGAAGAGAGTTAATAATATAAATTGCATCAAAAGAAACCAAACAAAAAAAATCACAACTGCTGATTGTTTCTTTTTACACACACACACACACACACACACACACACACACACACACACACACACTATTCTGTGCTCCTATGCCCTCTAGGAAACAAGTTTAGCCTTGCCTATTATGTAAATGCGACTATGCTGATTCAACATTTACTAAAAGTAATTTGCCTATATGAAGACACTTTTCTGTTCTCTATGGCAAGGACTTATTTGTTTCAATTAGGTGAAGTTTGGTGTCTAACACCTATTGCTTCACCTTATTCTTAGTAAATCAACCCTACAGTGACTTTGTCTACACACACAGACTAAGATATACCTCATTAACATAAAATGCAGGGAGGCAGTTCCTAAATTTTTAACCCTTTGTTAGGACATACATTGTTTTTATTTACTTTACTGATAATGAAGATCAGCAATATAGTAGACATTGTAGTTATGTTAACATTAATCCACAGCCCCCTTCTAAACATTACTAGCTTTGGTAGTTACTCGCTCCCACTTCGGGTTGGATCACCAAGATGATTCCACTAGAAGTTGACCTCCCCATCTGCAACCTATTGGGACACATCACAGGTCCTATGAGGCTGCAGGAGCATTCGCACATGCGCAGTGTATATGCAGTGAAAGCTGGCTAAGGAGTCACAAGGAGCCATAGCCAGCTTCCCACAGTAAACATCCTGGCATTGGGAACCAGAAGGTCGATGAAGAACCAGCTCAGGTAAGGACAGAGCTGGATGTCTGGACAAGTAAGTGTCCTTTTATTAAAAGTCAGCAGCTACAGAATTTGTAGCTGCTGAGTTTTATTTATTTTTTTGACTGGACCAATATCTGGCAGGCCAGGAAGTCCTCTTCACAGAACGTAATTGCGTTAGAGACAATTTACATATTTGGTGGTCCTGTCCCATAGCTGAAGCCTTCTGGTCTGATATAATTGGAATCTTATCTACATTCTTCTAAACACCTCTCTACCCTGACCCAGTCATAGCACCTTTAAACAAAAAGCCCCCAGAACTATTTCAAAGCCAATGCAATCTCCTGTGGCTAAACAAGTTATGGAGAAGGCCAGAAAATCTACCAATCTATGTGTCCTCGCAGTCAAGCACAAAGTGAAACAAGCAATGATTCATGTGAAGATTGAGGTAGTCCTCACAAACAAAATGTCCAAATCCAAAGCTCTTTGGACCATCTGAGTGACCCACTTTCTTCCACCGAATTTTGATGAGTCCTTATTGCTTTATTGACTAACAGCTCGCCTACAGTATGTTCCAGCTGGGATACACTACCATCTTCCCGATTGGAACCCAGGGTTCCCATCCCTGACCCCAATCCCGTTCCCCTAGGACTGGCTTCTTTCAACCCCCCTCTTCCTCCTTTCCTCCCCAATCCCTGCCCTTCTCATTCCCTACTTTCTCATATTTTCCCTGTCTCTATTCTTTTGTTCTCCCTTCTCTTCTTCTCCTCTTCTCCTCGTCTTATTCTCCTTTTCTTTTTCTTCTCTTTTACTGATCTCTTTCTTTTTATTTTTGGTAGCCATTTTGTTAGTAGGGAGATTATGCAAGCTATACAAGTTATAGCCTTCCAGTCTGATTCCAGCAATTTCCCTACCAACTGGGTGTATAAACTTTTCAAGGGAAGACTCTTCCCACCCCTACATGAACCCCTTGAGTCTTGGGTCTCCAGGTAGCAACCGATCTACCATTGGTCTGCCTAAAGAAGCCCCCCTTACTCTAAATTTTATTAATTCTTGCTTTAGGGTTTCTCTTACCTATTTATGCTCAAACCACTATCTATACATTTATGTGTATGCTCTGTACACATGGAAATATATGTTTGTCTCTCTGTATAAATGTACCTTTATTATATTCTTTACTGGCTACCAATGTAATAATTTGTTCTTTGTCCATTTTATGGACCTGTGTTTTGTCATAAATGTCCTTTCTTTAATAAACTATTTGAACAAGTAGCTTTGTTTTTTGTTGAAGATACTCATTAGGTGGTTGTCCATAGTAACTAACTGGATTTCATAAGAAACATAAAGAACACCTAAAGGCAAAACGTTTTTTGGGACAGAGAGGAAAAGGATTAGAACCCATCATTTTTTATTCTGTCTTCACTCTATTTTTCCTAGAAGTGAAAGTGAAAAAAAGTTAAAAATTTTGGGATGTCAGCAGAACTGGAACAATGGGGAAACTAGTACTGGTGACAACCAAGGATTATGTCACTTTGGAGAGATTTAGTCTTACTTCCTGTTTTGCTTATGGGAAAGGAAGTGAACAAAAGTTTCCCCAATGGGAAGCAGATGGAAAAAAGGAAACTGACATGAGTTATAACCCTATGAAAAAAAAGTTTTCCTTTTAGTAATACTGCAAGCAGCAACTTGTCCTTGGCAGTCCTGGCAAAAACACTCACGCTTCCATGTGCACATACACACAGCGGGGCGAAGATAAAAGTTTGCCTGGAGAAGTCGAAGCTAAAACTTGCTATCAGTGTTTTACACCATAAGTGATTCTGAGCACAGAGAAATATGCCCCGAATTGGTTGTCTGGCTTCTGTGATAGTCGTGAAGGTGTTTTCAGAGCTTCATAGAAATTGCAGCACACAGACAAAGATAAACACAAAGATGAAAGGAAAGGGAGTGAAAATAATTTAAGTAAACATGTTTTTTTTTTTCCTCTCTTTTTTTTGAAAGCAAGCAAAGCTTGCCAGGTTGTCTGGGACTGTCATTATTTCTCAGTGTG